GGCTGGGGGAACCCTGCAGATCCAGGACGTGGCCGAGGCCGATGCCGGGACCTTCACCTGCATCGTCGAGAGTGGCAACGACACCCTGGAGGCCCAGGCAGAGCTGGCAGTCCAAGGTGGGTCAGAAATTTTTATTTTCTCAGAGAACTCTTCTCCAGATCACTAAATACCAAGTTTATTCTGTGCCCTGTTAAAAACTGAGCCCCCTCCAGTACTGTTATAAATACTGTTACTCTGATTTATTATTCAAAATGCTTGTAATTTCCTAAATAGCCAAATGAGCATTGTGCCTATATAATACAACCTGAGGGTGCTTAAAAGCTGCTCTGTTTGCTGCTATTGTATTAAATGTGGCTGATGTCATGCACTTGAAGAAGGGCCAAGGCCACAGTGTGGCTGATCCCACCTGAAAGTGAACCTGTGGTACTGCAACCTGGTTGTCTTTGGAAAGGACATCTCTAATGTATTTTTCATAATCCTTAAATATGTTGTTGTTTTCAATGAGCTTGTGAGAAGATAAAACCAGAGATATTTAGTAATATGCTGGTTTATTGTGTGTATAACTGTTTTGCTTACTCTTGCAAGCTATTTTTACTAGAAAAAGCACTGAAATATTGATAATGTAGTTTTAAAAGCATCTTACTATACATAAAAAAGTAAATAAAGCAGACTGGGTAAGGAAAGAAAATAGACTTGGTAAGGAGTGGGGAAAAATTCAGGTAAAAGTTTGCCTTCCTTGCCTTTCTTACATTCCATGAGGAAATCTGTGTTTTTTATTGATTGGACTCTAATAGGGGTTTCCAGTTCTTTCTCTGGAGTTTCATGGCATATGCAGAGTCCTTATAAGAACTTAACTGACTTGTTTTATTGTGGACTGTGGTACTACAAAGTTGGTCTAAAAAGTAATTCTGAGGGAAGAAATTTATTCATGGAACATCCATAAATGAAGGGTTTTCTATAGATAACAGGAAGGGATTTCTGACCAAAAGGAAGTGCTCAGACTCAATCTGGTCATGCAGAAAACCCCACAATTTTATTACCTTATATCTTGGCCAAAAGAAGAAAGATTTGGTGCTCTGGCTTTGGAAATACCTCCAAGGTTGAGGCTTCAGGACACTTTATGGTAGCTTCAAACAGCTCACTGTGGGCTGTGTTTAATTCAGTTCCAGCCTCTCCATTTTACAGACTTGGCTTTGTGTGTTCATTAATAACATTAATGATATGATGCTATTAAGCAGGTCATGGGCAAAGCTGAGAGGAGCCTTAGTGCAGGACATGCAGCCAGGTCACCTGCAGATGAAAGTGAACTGGAGACAACTCTTCTTTTCTCTTTATCTGAACCATTGTAAAGGATTTCTGCATTTCAGTGTGAAGATTTAGAATGTGTTCTGCCAGACCTTCCCTGCTAATTTTGTTATACACTTGGCACTGGAAAGAAAATCCTTTATGTTCAAATGTTAAAATATATTAAAGGTTCTATGGAGTGCATTTTGGATAGTGACATTTCTGATTTTACTTCTTAGTTGTAATCATAATTCTGCTTTCCTTGAGAGGTCACTGTCGGGAGTAATTGTATTTCTGCATTATGGTAGTTTGGTGCAGGGTTGAATAGCTTGAATAACTGTTACCTGATCCCTGGATCATTTTCTTCTAGATTAAAGAAATTGTCATCTCTCCCCACCTAATAACAGCATGATTTTGCTTAATTTAAGTTCTTTCTGCCATTCTTGGAAATTAGTCTGTCAGTGGTTCAGACAAGAAATCCATTTTTGGGGTACTAACTCCCTTCTGCATTTTTCTGTAGCTCTCCTTGAAGGCCTTGTTTTTTCTAAGAGGTTTCACTCTGTACTGGGGGTTGTGCTCAGGCAGCCAATCTTTTTCCTTCTACTAGCATTTCCCCATGGCAGTTTAGACATGGAATTCTGTGCCAAGGGGGGTGATTGGCAGTGTTAGGGCAGTGAAAGTGGAGAGGTCTTCCTGTGGCTGCCTCTTGACTGAGACTTCCTGGCAGTGCCAGATCTGGGCTGACTGAAATTTGCAGGCAGGACCAGCCTGCTTTATCCACTTGTACATGAATTCAAAGGAATGCTCTTAAAGGTCACTTTGCTCCATGGCCAGCTTTTCTGTGTCCTCTGACAAGGATACAAAACCCTGCAAGCAAATAAGTGTCTCTGCTGTGGTGCTGGCCACTGGAATACTCCTTTCCTGGCAGTGGGGATGAAATTCCTGACCATCCCAGGGGAAGGGTGCCCTTAGGTGTCACACTGGGGCAGGAAAATCCCTGAGTTTTACTGTGGGTTTGTGTAAGGTATGAGGAAGAAGGTTGGGGAAAGCTTATCGCAACTTATATGGGACTGTACAGCCACCAGTCCTGGGAGTTCCTGGGGTGTTTTCTGTTCCTTTTGGTACCATTTTCAATTGGGATAAGCAGTGCCTTCAGTGCAGTTACCCAGATCCTATTGGTGATGCTTAGGGATATCACCAATTTCATGTACCTGGAAATAGTTGAAGCCCTGTGTCATAAATAGAAGGTGCTGGAGAAGCCTTCTATTGCCCTGATGTTGGGTTTAGAAAGTGATTGTTTCCCTATGTACATCACAGAATCAGGAAAATGACCTTTAACTTAACTAGAAATGTACTAAAGAGTCCAGAAGAATCCTACACAAATTTCTGCCCTCAGTCTCTTTATCTGCATTGTGTATCTGGGAGGTAGAGTCAAGAAACTTCCTTAACTTTGGAAGGAAATTTTGGCTGCCCTGTTCCTGGAAGTGTTCAAGGGCAGGCTGGATGGGGCTTGGAGCAGCCTGGGCTAGTGGAAGGTGTCCCTGTCCTTGGGAGGGGGTGAATGTGCTGACCTGTCAGGCCCCTCCCGAGCCAAACCATTCAGTGATTCAGTAACCATTCAGTATCTGCAAATTGGAGATTTCATGGCCCCACTGGTCACACACTGAATCTTTGCCTGGTGCATCTGAGGTTTCATGTGGAAGAGAACAGGGAATGTCCCAGGGAGAGCCTGTGGCTGAGAGTCCCAGCCCCTCAAGCTGGACATGGCTGAATCCTGTCCACAATTGATGTAGGACTAAACACTGAGTGGATAAAATGTGTGTGCACCTTTGTACCAGAATATCACAGATTTTGGAAAAGGGACCTCCTTGGTTTGCCTTGGGTATCACCACAGTCCAGGCCAAGCAAGGGCAGGACACTTCCCATGGTGGAGACAAGAATTTGGTGCCTGAAAAGTCACCCCTCTCTTGGCTGTAGTGACAGTGTTCTCCCCTCACTGTGGGTGCTGCTACCAGGTTATTTACAACACCTGTAATGAATTGAGAGCACTGGAAAAATTTGTTTTGCTGCCCCCAGCCATGAAAGAATCTGTAGCATTTCCCTCAGATAAGAGTGGGAAGTGATGACAGCAGAGATGGGGAAACAGGTAGTTATTGCATTTAATCTGCTCAGCCTGGAAGAGCCAGAGTGGCAGTTAAATACTGGGAAGGTCATAAGTTCAGCCTTCATCTGGGCAATATATCACATTTATGGTTGTGCCCAGTGCCCTGGGAGTTTGGGCAGGGGCTGGGACTGACTGAGGTCACCACAGGGGCTTCCTGTGGCCTGCCTTGGTGCTGGGGTGGGGACCAGCAGCTTGGGGGGACTTTCTCTGGCTGTTGAAATATTTACTGTAGTTAATAATGAACCAGAAAGTCGTAAACAAAAAAATAATTCCATTTTCATTCTCCTATAAAATTGACATGGCAGGCTCTCAAATAAATAAATCCCCGTGTTTATGGGAGAAGTGTGAGAACTGCTCTTTGCTGCTGTTTGTTACTAACTTTCAGTGAGTTTTTGGACCAGCAGAAAGTCCAATTCTGAGTTGTCTAGGACAGCATTCAGTGTCTGATAGTGTATCTTAAGTATTATGCATTAAATGTCTCATTGTGATAATGTAACTAAATTTAAAAATAAGAGATGCCTCTTTTGGGGTATCTGTAATGATAAATCAGAGATTGCAGGTGGCAATTGGCTGATCATGGCCTCGTTCATACTGCCACAGCAAATTGTATGGAAAAATCCAAACGTGGAAGTGTTTTGATGGAATTGTCCCCTTTGTTCTTTAGAAGGAAGTGCTGGAAATATTTTCAGTAGAACTGACAAGGCTTACAGCAGTGGCAAAGCCTTATTCCAGCAGAAAATAGGTGTTTTGGAGTGGTGGTCCTGCAGTGTCAGGGAACAGTGATTTCTGTGTTCTGGGAGGGTTGGCAGGATTGCTTCACCTTGATTTTTCTGTTGCCTTTGCTCCTGCTGGGATGGGGTCTCTTTGATTACTCATGGCAGGTAATTATTTTAAGTTTTTAATTGAAGATTTTGGCTTAAAAACTAGTTGTGATTATACATCTATTAACATATGAATTGTTATTAAAATAAAATGAGAGGCAAGTCAAAACTTTGTTTAAAACAAAACCAGGACAGCTGCAGAGGAAGAGCCTGAATGTGAAGAACCCAGGGCTTGTTGTCCAGGGTTCTCAGGGCCAGCTGCTTTGATAAAAGCTGATGCCATCCTGCCCCAGAAATTTTAGCTGTTTGCAAAGCACATTAAATCCTGCAGCAGCAGAGTAATATGTCTGGGTAACTCTTATTTTTGCATTAAGCTTTCATTATTATTGGAAACAATTCCAGGGAAGAAATTTGAACCATCACTGAAAATTGCTCAGACCTTTCTCATCCTTCTGGATGATCTTCATCGATTTCCCTCTCTAATTAAGCTCAGTGCTGGATTTGATAATGGGCTGCTCCTCAGTTAGAGATTCAGGAGATGCTGCAGGTACCTGAAGCTGTCAAAGGCTTACGTGGGGGACAAAGTATTGTCCTTTTTGGGGGGCTCAGAATCTGCTGCTTGGGGAAGCTCTTGGAAGTAAAAATAACACCTTGGCTTCATAGGATTTATTTCTTGCCCTGAAACTATAATGAGGAATTAGTGACCTTTTTTTCTGCAGCGATGCAAACAGGGGCAGTGGGTCCAGGAGTGGGGAAGGTGAATGAGCTGAGCTCCCTGGAATTTGGGTCTCTACCACTGCACTTCACTGAAAAGTCCTTTCTTTCTGAAAGTCCTCCTTATTGCTCC